TATCTAAGATCCTTTGCCTTAACATTGATGTAGCTTGATCTGACTCTAAAGTTAAATGACATCACTGGATAAACCATAGAGACTCAGTTTCTTTTGAATAGCTATTTCCCAAGAGGATTTGAAGTTATCTGCCAGTATTAGATGGGTCAGTTGACTGGGGTTGTGATGTAATTTTAACCAGTAGGAAAAGATATTTATCCAGAGATCAGATTCAAGTTTACTGACTCCTGCTTCCCATCAAAATACAGTGTTTGGAACACAGCAGGTAACCTGGAAGATGTTTCTTAGGAATTTTGTATGCTTTCTAAGGTAACCATGCTGTCATATGGTCCCAGTCGAGTCCTGTATAGCAATTGTGATTGGGCTTTAGCTGCAAACACTTTAATTGCAACAGGGATAAACTCTGTTCCTCTGGAAAAATAGTAAGTTTGGATAGCTGATGCAGGTCTGCTGGGTCTGTGGTCAAAGGAAGTTAGGGCTGGATGTGATAATATGGTAGCTGTAGAAGATGGAACAAGAAGAGAAGAAAAAACCACTGCTAAAGAAAGGAGAAGAGAGGTGAAGAATTAAACATTTTTAAAATTATTTTTAATTTTTTCACATTCATCAAGGAGGGAAGTTCATACAAGTCTTTAGGACTTACTTCAGACGAGATCTGCCTAGAGCTGCAATGTTATAACAGAGCTAAATGTAACTCCAAACTGCATGTTTTTGTAACCCCAAGCAACATTGTCCAAGCCATCATATTCCCATTGATTTTTCCAAATTATATAAATGAATTTGTTCCATGATTTCTCAAAAGCGTCTTTCCTGGGTAGTCGACAATAAGAGAAAGGGGTTAGGAATTCAGATTGGAAGAGACGAGAGATGTGAAGGATCTCTGGAGATAATGGTAGCCAAAGTCCATCATACTCACCTTTTTTGCAGTTCTCTGAGCTTAAAGCATTTTAGCAAGACTTCCTCCATGCAATCAGTGGATACTGCCTAACTCTGACTAGCCCCATAGAGTTCAAATTGCACAGAGACTGTGGATACAGCAAGGTAATCACCATGTCTGAACCATTGCGCTGAGGCAGGCTTTCTGGAACACAAGTTGAAATGTCTGCAGAAAGCACAATCTTCACTTGAGTGCTGATTGCCCTAAGCTCAGAAAACTCCAAAAAAGGTCTGTAAAGGAGACTTTCCTCCTTTTTCTTTTTCTCTGTCTCTCTTTTTTGTGCCTTCAAGTCCTTTGAGTCCTGGCGAGTGCCTGGACTAGTCCCTGCAGTTTTCTTGGCTACGTTTTGGAAGTGGCTTGCCATTGCCTGCTTCCTAGAGCTGAGAGGGTATGACTGGCCCAAGGTCACTGAGCTGACTTTGTGCCTAAGGCAGGACTTGAACTCACAGCTCCGGATTTGTAGCCCAGTGTCTTAACCACTGTACCAAACCAGATGTCCTTGTCTTTTTTCTTATTTTCATCTTTCTTGGCCCCATCTCTTTGTCTGTTTCTTCTCCCTTCCTTTCCATACAGCTGTGTTCCAGATTACTCAATTCAATTTTGAGGGGTTGCATAACCTACTGAACCAGAAACATCTCCAAGCTGCGGTTGCCAATTAGTTGCACTGAAACGTGGTTACTAACAGGCTGGGATCTTTGGGGCTTCTTACATTAGAAAGCAAGTCTGAGGTTGGGAGATAAAAGGTATACAGTTATGCCTGATGTAGAAAGATCGAATACATTCTTCCTGCCTGATAAAACAATCCAAAACAAGAACTATAGAGAGATCTTCTAGAACTAAATGTGGAAGATTTTGAGTGATCAGGCCCACCGACTGGCTTCCTGTAACACGTCAGATTAGATTAAAATGGAGTGGGCACTACTTGATTCTGGCCACAGGGCCTCATGCAAAGAAGTCATGTTGGAAGTTTCTAGGAATATGGCCACTCTGGGTTCCATTAATTGGAGGTGGTGTGTTTTTTTAATATAATTTTAATTAGAAGATTTTACATGAGGTTAAAACTACAGAAACAAAAGGAAAAATAGAAAAAAAGATATGAAAGCCTTACTCTAGTTCCCTCCCGGATAATAAGCAAGTTCCCTATCATTGAGAAAACAATCCAAAAGAGGGATCTACAGTACTAGAATTCAGTGTGGAAGATTCTTAATGGACAGACCCACTAACTGGTTTCCTGTAACTCCTCAGGTGAGACTAAAATGGGATTGGGTAATTTCTGGCATCTGGCCAATCTTGTCTAGATAAGCAGGGTCAGCACTGGTAGAGATGGGATAGGAGACCACCAGGAATTCCAAGACTGAAGTCCCATAGTGCTGTCTGAGGAGGGCAGAATGAACCAGAAGGATGTAAGGGTCCATTTTCGGCTATCTATTCTTTTCCTCACACATTCCTCCCCTGAATACTACATATTTTATTGCCTTGTCTGTAACTATCTTCTTGTCTACATTACACTGTACATTTAAAAGTCATTGTTTTGCTTTGCTCAATAAATTATTGCTGCCTGATTTAGGTGCCTGCTTGCTTTAACTGGGCAGCTGGGAGGATCTTCACACCTTGAGGGACTCTGTGAGAGCACATACTCTGGTGGATGCTCCTGCAATGCTTCACTTTGCTCTCCCAGGACCATGGCCTCTGCCAGGATGAGGCAGAGTAAGAGAAAATATTTTGTTGGTTTGGAAAGAAAAACATCCTCTCTGGTAAATTACCTTCCCAGGGACCTCAGAAAGCTTAGAAAGCCAAAGAATGTTAATAAAACTAGAAGATACTAAGAGAGATGCCTGAGACAGTCCTTATAAGGCCATTATAAAATAAAAAGTAGCTCCTTAGAAACCAACTGTGTTTGTGAAATGTGGCGTCTTGTTTTCTCTCAAATACACCATTACTGTGTCTTTTTAATGGCACCCACATCATAGTTTCCAGACTCAATAGCGATATATCAAATTTATGTACCACCTGACTTTGGGCAGTTATATCCAGCCCGAGTAACCAGTGCCCCAATCACATGTATTCTTAATCCCGTCCTATTGGTCAATCATATGTAGATTCCACTTTGCCTAACTTGCACCTCCACCCCCTTTAGGTTTCTTTTTGCTGCCTCCAGTACCAAAACAAACCATTTCTGCTTCAATCGACAGGTGTCCCTTTTAAACAAATGTGGGGGGGATTTCTCCAACAGCAGCATAGGACTATCCTATACTGCTTGTGTGTTCCTTTCTGACTGCTTGCACAACTTTTCTAGGATTTTCCCAGGTACTGATGTCAGACTGGTTGGTCTATAGTTTTGTGGTTCCACTTCTTTCCCTATGAGGGGATGCGGTGGCCCAGCAGCTTAATGACACATTTGTCCCTAGCTCCTGCCCACCTAGCAGTTCGAAAGCATACCATCTGCGAATAGATAAATAGGTACTCCCATGGCAGCGCGGGGACCTGCCTGGACGCGATCAGCGCTCAGCAGAGGATCTGTGATTGGCAGAGAATCAGCAAAGAACAACAAAAAAAAGCCCCGGATGAGAGCCAACTTCCCTGTGGACGCCACTGGCCTTTAGTAAATGTTAATTGTTAATATTAAATGATGTCGTACAGCGCCCATAGTCACTTGTGTGAGATGGGCAGCTATATAAATGTGATGTAGTAATAATAATAATATGCTAAAGACTGGAACTGTGGTTCTTCTCCAGTCTTCTGGCACTTTCCCTGTATTTCGGGAATCCTGAAAGATTACAGTCAGTGCTTCTGAAATCCACCACTTTCTTCAGCACCTGGGATGTAACCCATCCGGTCCCAGATACTTGAATTCATTCAGAGCAGCTACAACTTCTCTTTCCACTCCCTTGCCTATTTTGACCTGCATTTTTCTTCTGCCTCACCATGGTGTGAAAAGACAGGAATTAAGCAATTCAGTCTTCTCTCTGTTGCCCATTGCCATCTTACTATCTTTGCAAACAGGGATTGATGGCTTTCTTGACTTCCCTCTTAATTTACTTAAAACACTGACATCTTTGGCATCTGCGACTTGAGATAGGCTGGAGTTAGGACACTTTTGGTCAGAAGATCACACCATTTATTACTCAGGACCTGAGAAAGGAAGAAGTGGCGTCGCTTTCACAGCCAAGGAAGGTATATTATCTCCCACCCCCACATTTGCCTTCTCAGCCAAGGAGCCCCCAGGGGCTGCCACCTTCCTTCCCCCTTCCAAGGGTCACCACCTATTAATGGGGGGCTTAGCTCGTTTTAAGGTTAGGTTCTTTGTCTGAGGGTCCCATGAGTGACCCGCATTTGTAATCAGCACCTGAAAAAAAGGATTGGTTAGACAAGCAGCTCTTCCTGTTGACTTTTCTTGGCGGTGCACATTTTGCATGCTAAGCATGAGCCGCAAACCGACCTTAAGAAGTTCATTGCCAACCGCTTTTGCCTCCCCTCCACGGCCTTCACAAGACTACTGGCTTGCCCTAATATGTGGTTTTCTATCCGTGCTCTTTTTCTTCCCTTTCCTCTTAGCATTTAGCTAAAGCCCTTTCATTATATTCTCCTGTCCATGGTGAGCATCGCTAGGGCGTGCAGAAGGAGTGAGGGGGTACCAGATCTGCCCCATAACGGCAACTGCTTTGGGAGCACTGGCCATGGCACTTCTTCCTCACCCCTCCAGCTTCCCGCCGCGTCTCGCGGAAGAAACTCTTGGACCTTGCAAGTGTTGGGACTTGATCACCTCTTAGGAAGAGTGATCCTCCTGGCGTCTCCTTCCATATAGCCTTTTTTCGGAATCTGAACCCCAGCCACCACAGCCGGCAATACTGAGCCCCACATTTAATCCAGCTAACGGGGCAGACCCAGCCCAGGGGGTCAATGTCTGGTTTGTTTGGGTAACGCAGCCATTTCTCTCCATTTATCTCACTTCCAGCTCCCTCGATCCAGTCTCTCCCCCACTTCTTCCACCCGTCCCAGAAACGCCGACACACTTCGAAGAGGATTCTGGGACAGACCAAGGGAAATCCCAGGGGCACAGAAACCACAATTAAACCAGCTTCCATCCCAAGGATGCGATGGGAAAACGTGTCCCAGAGGCTCTTCGGTTTCCCTCGGAGAAGGGCGCCTGCCTCGAAGAGCCTCGCCCGGCCTGGCGCTTCCGAAACGGGCCGCTTTGCTCATTCCAGCCCCCGCTCGGCCTCCGCCGTGCCCATCATCCCCGACCACCTCGCCCTTTTCTGCCCCCCCCCCGAACAAACGCTCCCCCAGCACCGCAGCTCTAAGACTTTTCAGCCTCTGCAAGGAACGGAGCATGCGCAGAAGCACCCTCTGCCAAGCGGAGGCGGAGAAAGGAGGGGGGCGGTGGGTTGCACTGGGGAGGCTCTCTAGCCACGGGCAGGAAAGGAAGGTCGCCACAGCGCTTTGCCTCTCTAGGAAGGAGCACTCTCTGGCAGATCCTCTCGGAGGCCGGAGGGCGCGGGAAGTTGTGGGGGGAGTGGGTGGCAGCTGTTCTTCCCAGGCGCAGAAGCCCCGAGGCAGCGGAGCCCCTCCCCCTCCTGGAAACCGGGGGAGGCGGTTGGGGGGCTTCGAGGGATCCGGGAAAGGTCCCGCCCGGGAAGGCGCCTCGGCTGCGGCCCCCGGCCCGGGTCCCCGACGGTCGCTGGAGCCCCGATGGCGGTCGGGGG